GCATAAAATAAAATATTTAGTCCAAAATACTTCCAAAAATGTTTACGTAGGTTATCCTGAGGTACATTGGAGGCACTTTAAGACGTTCCTGTAAATTATCCTGGGACACATTGGCGCAACAACTGAAGCACATTGAGATTCATGTAGACTGTTCGGGAGTACATTGGTGCAACATATGAGGCACTTTAAGACGTTCCTGTAAATTATCCTGGGACACATTGGCGCAACAACTGAAGCACATTGAGATTCATGTAGAATTGTTCGGGAGTACATCGGTGCAACAAATGAGGCACATTTAATGGTTGTTTTAAACACTGACATTGTACCATAGTTTGTTTTTATTATTTCAAAGTATTTATAGAATAATTATTCACACCAATTTCAAGCAGATTAAATCTTTAAAGGCTGTACCATCTAATACCTGGAAACGTTTGTACGGCTTACAATAATGCTTTAGATAAAGATTTATAAAGTCTTTGTTAAAATCAAAATCCATTTTGCAAACATGTTGGAAGGTCAATATATCCGAAGACTAGGTGATTAGATGAACACTCTGTGTCACCAGTGGCAGATGATTTATAAAGAACGGAAACAATGTCATTACTATCAATGGTGTGTATGTCATCTTCTTCTGTATGAACAAAGCATGCTTAACTTCCAGCCCTGGTGAGCTGTCGAATCAAAAGGATGTCTTCAAATGTGTGTGTTCAGTTTTTGTAATAATTATACCAACAAAATGTGGAACTTTTTTTTTCTGTTGCATATTTCATCAATTTTTCATTCTCAATCCGATTTGTAACGTTGCGGTTCTAAATTTTTCATCCTCAGTCCGATTTATAACGTTGCGGTTCTAAATTTTTCATCCTCAATCCCATTTGTAACGTTGCGGTTCTAAATTTTTCATCCTCAATCCGATTTGTAACGTTGCGGCTCTAAATTTTTCATCCTCAATCCGATTTGTAACGTTGTGGCTCTAAATTTTTCATCCTCATTCCGATTTGTAACGTTGCGGCTCTAAATTTTTCATCCTCAATCCGATTTGTAACGTTGCGGCTCTAAACTTTTCATCATCAATCCGATTTGTTATGATGGGTGTTTTCACCTTTCCAGTTCCTTATTGTTCCTAGGCGAAATTCATAAATAATAAGAGATGGGAATGGCACTATAAGACCGAATTATTTCTAATTTTCCGTATCTGGGGCAGAGCTAGTTGCTCAGACTTTCCTAGCGATTACTGTAGCTCTCATTGTGTGTGTGTGTGCTGTTTTTAGACTTGCCCTAAGCTAGTCTGAGATTTGGGACTGCATCACTAGGGTTAGGACTGGGGGTTTATATGATGACGAAAATTTATGATATTTAAATATATTTCTGTTGTACGAACAAATTTACTCGAGAAAACGCGTGAGGTATTTATGCTATACCTACCATGGATATTGAAACCCCGTTTTCAGTGTTATAATTCTTCAGACTTACTGCTGAGTCATTTGGGGGTAGGAACATTCAGACAGTCCCAACGTGCCCCATTCACAGTGTCCCAGTGATATTAATAAGATACATTGATACATTATGCTCCTTAACTTTTCGAAGGGATTTTATCAGCAATTTACTGATAACAGCTGCCTTCATATTTTTTGCGAAATAAGTACATTCATCTTTGTTACTTGTATTGTAAAACTTAAGGGATTTTATCAGCAATTTACTGATAACAGCTGCCTTCATATTTTTTGTGAAATAAGTACATTCATCTTTGTTACTTGTATTGTAAAACTTTTTCTAAAAAATCAGTGATTATGCTTTAATTTCTTAAATCGATTAAGTCTGATTTTGACTGACAACAGTCTAGTTAGATGTACGCTCATAAAATTGAGGCTGACCTCTGGGGTGAAGACTTAAACTAACATCTGTGCATTTTATTTATACTGCACATTATCTAACGCAAAAATAATACTGCACATTATCTAACGCAGTAATAACACTGCATATTATTTAACGCAATAATAATACTGCACATTATCTAATGCAATAATAATACCGCACATTATCTAACGCAGTAATAATATTTCACGTTATTTAACGCAATAACAATACTGCACATTATCTAACGAAATAATAATGCTGATAAAAATGCACATTATCTAATGCACATTGATCATAATTTTGACTTGGCTCATATAAATATTAGGTGTAACTTGGTATTAAATAACATATAGAACAAGAAAACATTTAGAACGTTGAGTTCTCTTAAATTAAAGGTTAAGGTATTATTACTGTTGTTATTTTCTTGTCGTTTTTACTAATTGTATGTGTGAATATCTGTTGAACAATTCATTATTATTTTACACGAAGAGCTTGTTGTTTTCTTAGTGCAAAGGTACACAATGGACTATCTGCACTCTGTCCGCCACGGAATCGAACCCCGAATTTTAGTGTGTAAGTCAGTAAACTTACCGCTAACCCACCGGAGTACGAGTGAAGGAAGTAAGAGCGACGTTCAGCGGGTGGCCATTATTTTGATTTATCCCTTCGGGATTGGGAGGGAACTGGTGTATGCTTTGATGTGAATGACCTCTTTAGTTTGTCTTCCTTTCGTATTAGAATCCCTGTCCACGATTTGTTGTTTTTAAAGTTGAGGATGTGGTTGTTTTTTCTTGCTTGTTTGGATACTGCTAGTGTATTTGTATTATAATTTATGATACTTATTTTGTGTTCGTTTCAATTAGATATCAACAGATATCGCTTGATATCTCCAATATAACGTTTTGAGAATTCACATTTAGTGTCATTAACAACACTGTTTCGTTAATTGTAGGTTAACTTGCACCAAGGAAGAATGTCTCTGAGAATATGGAGATGTGTAAACATTATAAATAGATTTTGTCATTTCCAAACAGAGATCTTACTTAACCCCAATATAGGTCTTGGGAATCAACAGTACGTTTTGTTAAAAATACAATGACGTCGAAACATACCATAGTAACATTATAAGAGGTAGTTAGAGATTAAATATTTTTCACCAGTTGAATTGAGCTCTTTAAGTAGTATGGGATATTTAGGGACAATTGTTTTAGAATGTCTGGAAGAAACCTAGACGTCTTGTAAGTTGGAGAATAAATGGAACAAACAATATGTCTCATTGGATTAGCTCCCCAGTGACACAACAATTTTACTGCGGAATTATGACCCTAGAAACCGGGTTTCGATACCCGTGGTGGGTAGAGCACAGATGGCCCATTGTGTAGTTTTGTGTTTACTTACAAACAAACAAACTCATGGGATTTTTTTTTTAGATGTTTGGTTCTATATAAAGTTGAGGTGAGATGGAATTTTGGGCACAATTTTATGGAGCTTAATTAGATAAGTTAATGAAATACAATTTATTGTTTATAACGTTAACAACTAATGATTTTCATTCATGAAAATAGTCAAAAGGAAAACTTGTTAATAATAATATATTTTTTTCCAAGAATGCTTTTATAATGATTTTCGTATTTCTTTGTTTAGAATCAAACACTTTAACCGATTTTTTAAAAATTGACAATGATTCATCAGTTTCGATACTTGTTAAACTTACCAGTAAGAATAATATTATGAAACGAATCTACTATATTTTTGTGTGTGTTTTTTTTTTGTTCTCCATTTATTATTATTACTTGTTTTTGCAATTACTAACTAATTACTTGTAATTACTAATTAATTGTTAGTAGACTAACAATTTCTCCACGATTTATATTTTTCAAAAATATATTAGAATTGGACTTTATATCTGTTGATTACATTACTATACTAATTTGAATGTCAGAGTGCAGGCTGGGGAACTTGTTAAAGTATAAGTTTCGGGTGGATTGTACCTGATGTCTATATTCTACAAGTGACTTACTTCCGAAAGAGCAACAGAAAAGTTAGTTAGCATGAGAAAATAAACCCAATAATCCGAGCTCTTTCTTTCGGAAATCAGACTCTCCAACATCTTTAGGGAGTACAAGGACAGCTCACATACAATGGTGAACGGTGGTGGAATCGCACCTGGAGAAAAAGGATATCCTCAACATATTTTGGGAATTATTTACACTGTTTGTTTGTATTGAATTTCGCGCAAAGCTACACGAAGGCTATCTACGCTAGCCGTCCCTAATTTAGCAGTGAAAGACTAGAGGGAAGGCAGTTAGTCATCACCCACTACCAACTCTTGGGCTACTCTTTCACCAACGAATAGTGGGATTTACCGTCACATTATAATTCCCCCACGGCTGAAAGGGCGAGCATGTTTGGTGGGACGGGGATTCGAACCCGCGGCCCACAAATTGCGAGTCGAGCTCCCTAACCACTTGGCCATGCCGGGCCTATTTACACTGACAGGTTTCGCTAAAGTTATGCTTTCTTATATTTTTAGAATTGTTAAATTTTATTATATTTTGTTGTATTTTGTGGCTTACTTTCATAATTTAAAAGACTGGATTTCAAAAGGGTTTTTTATAATTACGCAAGTATCATATTAAATGTAATATCTAAGGTTAGCTAGTTTGTTTGTATTTAAGCACAAAGCCGCACAATGGGTTAGCTATGCTATGCCCACTAGGGGTATTGAAACCTGGTTGTTAGCGTTAAAAGCCTTCAGACTTATCGTTGAGCCACTGGGTGACGCAATATCTAAATAAAGTGTAAAAACAACTTCATCTTAACTTTGGTGATATTCTAAAGACCTTTACCTAAAAACAAATATCATAAGGCATCAAAAAACATAAGGGTACAAACTACAATATACCTTTGGAAAAACGTTAGTTATATGAAGCACCTGAACCCACCCAGTGGTATAGAAACCTCGTGTGTTTGTATAACATTAGATTAATGAAATATTCCAAAGTCATCTGGTCATTGGGAAGTTACGTAAATTCGTGGTCAATGAAAGGTTATCTTAGGACATGAAAAGTTGCTTCCCTTACATGTAATTGAATAAACGCCCATAAAAACTGCAAAACACAAAATGTGAAACTGCAACTTCGTATGTTTCTCCCCATAACCCAATGAACTTCCATACCAAATTTGATGAAGATCCATCCAGAGGAAGTGTGGTAGTGATAAAAAGTCGCCCATAAAAACTGCAAAACACAAAATGTGAAACTGCAACTTCGTATGTTTCTCCCCATGAACCCAATGAACTTCCATACCAAATTTGATGAAGATCCATCCAGAGGAGGTGTGGTAGTGATAAACAACGCCCATAAAATCGCAAAGCGCAAAATTAAAAACTAATAATTTGTATCTCTCCATGAACCCAATGAACCTCTATACCAAAGTTGGCGAAGATCCATCCACACCCAGCGACGTGGTTACATGGACATACAATAGATAGTATTATTATATTTATATATCTTTTATTTCAAATTTATTAATCAATGTATTTTTGTTACGAAAGACACTTTTAATGTTTAAGTTACTGTAAGATTCAGATCTTCACTTAGAAACTACTAAAAAGGTAGCGTTACTGATATATGTATACCGTTCTTTTCTAGGTTTACTAGTACTGCTAGTGTCCTGTTTGTTACTCAGCCTCCAACATCACGAACACAAGTTATCTCAGGCTCCTCCCAAATAACCAAAGATGGATCACTACCTAATTTCTTACAAAACCACAGAACTCCATCCTCAGGAGTTTGAATGTTCCTTCTTTGATGCACCAATGTTAAAGAAAGATTGTTTTAGTCATTTCGTAAATCTGGAGGATTTGTTGGTTGATAACCTCGAATCCAAACCGCTCAAAACTGTCCATGTCCAGGAAGGGAATGACTTAGAAAATTATAATGATCCAAAAAAAGGAAACATCCTAAATGGTAAGTACTTAGGAAATTATTTTATAAAAGCTAAAGCTAAACCAAAGGAATATGTCCTGATAAACATCGTCAACTATATCATTTTTCATTTGAACCACTATTTAATCACTAATATTTTCAGTTGCAACCTTTTTGGCAAGACGTCTAGATTAACAACCTTTTTGGCAAGACGTCTAGATTAACAACCTTTTTGGCAAGACGTCTAGATTAACAACCTTTTTTTTCACTTAATGTTGGAGCTTTCATTGCCTTACTCACAAAAAAAAACCATCAACCACATCCTTATCATTACCATATTCATCCTCGTCAAATCGTCACAATAGATGCCAATTCCGTGTAATATTCCCATGAATCATCTTTTTCCCCCCTAAGGTAATAAGCAGTAAAACAAAAAGAGAAAAAATTACAAGTATATTTTAAAATAAGCATAAGAAAACAAGGATTTTTGTTTGCTTCAGATTTTCACTCAAAGCTACACATATCATCAACACTACTATATTCCTTATAATTACATAATAGTTCTACTATACTTCTCCAACTACATCATCAGCATTACTAAGCTCCTCCTACAGCCACTTCTATCATAAACATCAGGATATTATTTAACCATATCATCACAATTAGTATGCTCCTTCTAACCATATCATCATCATTAATAAATGCATCGAAACCATATCATCACTATTATTTTATTTTTCTTAACCCTATCATCAACACTAACATGTCCTTCCAACAATAGCATCACCATCACCACATCTATATATATTTATTTCTTAATTAACATCATCATCACTACTATGTTGCTATTAACATTTTTTTCTTTATTTCGTTTTTTTTCCTTTTTAATCACATTTAAGAGAAACTACAGTCGTGAAAAGAATGAAAATACAGTCGCCATATTGTAAAATAAGAAAGAGAAAATACACTATGAATTTTTACAGCCACAATCCTCTTTAATCCAAGCTTTTGGGATTTCTTCTCACTTACATGACCGCTTACAGTTGTCATTTTAGACCAACGATAACCGATCTAATTTTAGTATTACTTAATTGCCGTTTTTATTTCAGTAAATGATATTTAAAGAATAGTTATAACAACCAGACGTGACAATTTGAACTTTAACATTTCGTGAATGCAGGCTTGATATTACTCATATATAATTAATATTCTGTCGAAATTTTTTTGCCCCATGTTGTTCCAAAACGCAATGTTTGTTTATACCGCTAAGCCACTGGGGGGAGAGGGGGGGCGTGCGCCAAGTTTATAAACTTCTGTCTGATGTTGAGTTTCTTGCATTATACGAGAAATGTCTCCTTTCTCGCGGTTTTTAAATTTACCTTATGAATTAATTTTACGATATAAACGCAAATGATTAGAGCACAGCAGTATGTCTACAAATTTACAACGTTAGAAACCGGGTTTCGATACCTGTGGTGGACAAAGCACAGATAGCCCATTGTATAGCTTTGTGTTTAACTACAAACAAACAATTTTATGGGGTTTTTTTTGTATTTTCGCGCAACAACAGACCATCAAAATATGGTATCGGAGCAACAACAGCCCATCAAAATATGGTATTATCGGAGCAACAACAGCCCATAAAATATGGTATTATCGGAGCAACAACAGCCCATAAAAATATAGTATCGGAGCAGCAACAGACCATCAAAATATGGTATTATCGGAGCAGCAACAGCCCATCAAAATATGGTATTATCGGAGCAGCAACAGCCCATCAAAATATGGTATTATCGGAGAAACAACAGCCCATCAAAAAAATGGTATTATCGGAGCAGCAACAGACCATAAAAATATGGTATTATCGGAATATTTTAGTTTGAGTTTTACAATCGGTGGTCTTCATATTGATTGTTTTCATTATTCCATGACCATTTGTTTCTAATAGTTTAAACGTAACTAACCAATGTGTTCAAACTAGATCGTCCACAGAAACAGGCTGCTGTTTTCACTAGCAAACCACGAATTTTTACGTGAGAAACAAATATAATAAACCCTGCTTTTTTTTTTAATTAACTGTCTAGCGATTCTATTTGTTCGTGCTTCAATTCGACTTCTGATTAAAGTTTTGTATTTTTTTTTTCGATTTTCAACCAATTGCTTACCTAAACTACTTCATTTATACATTATTCTGGATGGTAGCGCGTGGAAATTCGTATTTCTTATGAAAAGTCCTGAAGCTTCAGGGAATCATAGTTTTTTGTGTTGTTTTTTTTTGCAAAACTTGATAGTATTGTTTCAGTGATTATTATGATATTTCACTCAATTAATACTGAAAAAAGAAGAAAAGAAACAGACTGTACTTACATTTATTATACATCAGAGCTAATAGAATATCAAATATTTTTTTTCTTCAGTCTCTAGCCAGAAAAACTCACAAGAACAACACTCACTGTTAGCTCCACGCCGGGCTGCGTATCGTAAAAGTCCTAGGTTTGCGCTGAGGTGCCAGTGAATACGCTTAACACTTTTAGCTGTGGATGCGTTATAAGAGTATGAGTCAATCCCATTATTCGGCTTTAAAGCTGAACAGAGCCCTTGTGGCAGCGTCTGCTGCTGACTGCATGCCTTCCTTCTGTTCAGTGGCATTAAGTGACCTTCGAACTGGCCAATGAACCCATAAGTACCAACGTGCTTTTCAAGTTGAAAATATCAATATATTTGCCCCAGTCATCGGAGACACCAACACTTAACTGTAATTTTCTGTTTCACTATCTTCGAATCTGTTAAAAATACAACAAAGAACTATTAATAAACTAATTAAAAGCTCAATACATCATCTTATTATAACAAAATGTAGAGCTAGGAGTATACTTTCAAAATCTGATAACTTTAGATAGTCACCGAGGGGATAAAATATGGGTAGGTTGAGCGATACTTGAATTACATATAGATATATAAAGGTAACATGTTAATATTGAACAATATTATCACGTTTTGGTTAAAGTACATCAAATTTTTCGCGAAAGAATTGAATCTTTTTATAGTAAAGAACACGTGCCAGTTAAAGTGTGCATAATACTAGAATAAGCTGATAACAAGCTGTTACCCCTTAGCGTTACCAGCTCTGTACTAATAAAGTAAGATGTATCTTGGGTTTTGCAATGTAACTTTACTCAGTGTTGTTGTAAGCCTGATAATAAATTATCGCCTTTTACTTTTTTTATCAATTCTGTACTAATAAAGTAAGATGTATCTTGGGTTTTGCAATGTAACTTTACTCAGTGTTGTTGTAAGCCTGATAGATAATTATCGCCTTTTACTTTTTTTCAGTTCTGTACTAATAAAGTAAGATGTATCTTGGGTTTTGCAATGTAACTTTACTCAGTGTTGTTGTAAGCCTGATAATAAATTATTGCCTTTTACTTTTTTCAGTTCTGTTCTTATAATGTAGGGTGTATCTTGGGGTTTTTGCAATGTAACTTTACTGAGTGTTGTTGTAACCCTGATAACAGATAATTATTCTCCCCTTTTTCCCAGTTCATTTCAGCAAAGAGTTTGTGTTTGTCAAGTTTCTTTGAACTAATTTTTAATAAAACTTTAAATCATAAGCAGCGGAATAGTACCAGAGAAAACCATACTTAAATGATTTGGTTAAGCTTTTAACAAAAGTAGCTCAAGGCCCATAGAATATAGAGAAAAATGTGATCGAATAGAAAGTAAAACATGTTTGTAGTCTATGATATCTTCGTTGTCACCCATACAACCAGAACTATGTATTTGCAACACATTACCTGTTCATCTATTTCTAGTTATTTCTACTGAAAAACATTTATCTAACACTAACAAATTTGTTAGTTTCCTGTAATTCAAGTTTGTCAATTTTGAATATTAGAACCTGATGAAAGACATGTGGATAGCAATTAGACAATATTTTCCTTTAATATTTAACTAGAGACATTAAACGATTTCTTGTTAGGCTAGCTCACTTTCAATGTCTTTTAGAACAGGTTTAAGTTCCAGTTGAAAATGGTTAGACAAACAACCAGTTTAGAGGCTTTTTCTTTCAGTGTACACAGAAATATAAGGGGCCGTGTTCAAAATACTGAAATGGCAAATCAATGGAAAAAAACGGTAATAAAGCATTACCATAAATAATATATATAACTATATAACCATAATATATAAAATATAATCCTTGTATTTTCTAGTAACTTTCTACTTAACATAGAACTCCCATCTATATCTAAAGAGACAATAATGACATATGAGTTCCCACCTTCACCAAAAGACTTTGTTTGGCTTGCTGCTAATGGTAATTTATAATTTATTATGTTATTAATCTGTTATTCACACGTTTACGGTTAATTTCAAACTAATATTTTGTTATCCTGATATATTTTTCCAACTCGCTCTCAAGGACTTATAAAAGACATTTATCATTTACAGGGAACGTTTGTACTTAATTAAAACAATGCAAGTTTAACAGCGATCATATATTTCAAAGCAATAACTTGAACATAAACTTTATCTCAAAATTTTAAAATCATAACAAAGCTTCTTCATAAACAATATTTGCATCTACCAACAAATAAATATTTTGAGGTGATCCCACCCCTTGAAAACCTTACATCTCATTGACCGTGAGAAAAGCATGGTTGTTTGAAAAACAATCCAGCAACTTTCACACTTTGACCTTGCATCCCTTTAGAATATTCAACTTTGTCTAAAGCGTCAACCTGCCAAGATTGTTTGAGATTGACTCAATAGGGTGGAAGTAATTAACCAACAGGATTTACAAAATAGAAATAGGGTTATGTTTAATTTTGATCCCCTTAGGACATTCCTCATAGCTCATAATGTTTACTTACAAATTTTGGTTGAGACTGGCCCAATAGGCTCGGAGGAGTTAGGGTGCAAACAAACACACATTTCGTCTTTATATTTATAAATTAGCAGTGTAAGACTAGAGGGAAGGCAGCTAGTCATCACCACCCACCGCCAACTCTTAGGCTACTCTTTTACCAACGAATAGTGGGATTGACCGTCACATTATAACGCCCCTACGGCTGAAAGGGGCGTTATAATATATATATATATATAGATAGATAGATAGATGAATATTTATTGTTTTGATTTTAATATTTACTTAGAAAGCCTACAGTCTCAAAGGTGGGTGGACAATGAGTTGGACTTGTCACTACTAGAAGACATAGAACCCCTGGTGACGCCTACACCTACCACTATAGCGGAAGCCATCATCTATCCACAGACATCCATACCCTGTGAGCCACCCAGCATAAACACCAGTTTTATAATGCCGTCTGTTCCTCAGTCACATGGTTTTTCACGTATTCAAGCCCCAACAGACAATTATGGGTTTCTCGTGGAAACACCTCCTGACTCACCTGTTAGTCAAGTGCCAGATGTTTTGGGATTTTCAAGGATACTAGAACATCCAAAAATGTATCATTGGGATAACTGCGGAAGTTTAAGGGGTCAAACATTACCAAATCTACCTTCATCTTGGAATCCTTCACCATCTTACTCTTCCGGGGCACCTTCCCCAACGCCTTCCGTGTTGCATCAAAATACTCCTTTCTTCTGTCACTCTGGTTATGCAGATCTCTCTAGAATTTCTCTCCAAGAACCTAGTACCGCAGGGATCTTGGACTTCAAAAGTCCTAAAAATTTGTGTGGTTTTGATAGCTTCGATGTTTCCAACACAAGCCAAATGGAAGCTGGCAAGCTGATTCAGCCCACGGAGGATACAATATTTCCCAGATATTCCGAGATCCAGGAAAGTGAAAATGTTGTATCTCATGGAACTATCTTTTCAACCTCTCCCAACTATTTAGATCTACCCTCGACAACTCGACGACAACGCACCAAAACAAAATACTTACAGAACGACTACATAACTAAAATACTACACAATGAGACCAGAAAAGATCGCAAGAAACTTCAAAATAAAGAAGCTGCAACCCGTTACCGAATAAAAAAACGTGAGGAAGCCCAGTGGTTACAAGATGAGGAGAACGTGTTGGCAATGAAGAACAGAGAACTGAGGAACAAGGTGAAGAAGATAAAGACTGAGATAACCTACCTGAAAAATCTTACAAAAGAAATCCTTAAAGTCAATAGAGGATTTGTATAAGCTCATAATCCATGTGTTTCATCAAAATCATTATTCGGTTTATACGTGTCACAACAAAACGTTCATAACAATTTAAACGACTCTAGCGCCAGTTAGTTCGTCGTAATTATTTGCATTTCTTGGAGTAGTTGTGTCAGTAAAATTGAAAATAAAAGACTGTGGTAATACAGAGTACACATATTGATTATTCGAGTGAGCTTTTCCTTATGTGATGGTTTTCTTGTATATTGACATTGAAAAATGGAGTAACTTATTACAAGAAACCGCAGCAATAATAATAATACTTATATGAGACAATCAAGTGTGATGGTGATAATTCACTTGAATAATATGTGTATCTTAACAATATATGTTTATATGAGTAACAATAATATATATATATATATATATGTTCCTTAATAGTCGATTTCATTTATATATATATGTATATGGTAAGGAAACTGAATACATTTAGATATTAAGCAAGTACACTGCCGAATTACAAAATGTAGGTAAATGAGGTGAGTGGTTTTTGTTGTTTTTTTGTTGTTGTTGTTATGATTTTGGATGGAATCTATCCATTCTTAACCATGATCATTCGGAGAAGTTTTGATCCGTACATTATGGAATGAGGTTAAGATAATTATCATAAGATGGTGATAGGAAAATAAAACACCAAATTAAAATACTGATCATATAACATCGCGTAATTTACCGAAGAACACCGTTACCATGGTATTAAACATTGTTTACAACCGCGAAGACCAGCGGAAGATACTGATGTTATTTATTGACAGGGTAAAACTTTTACTAATATATCACGTGAACGAACAACTTCACGATGGTATATGTTCAATCGGTGAAAGAAGTAAACAAAGATACCTGCGGCAGATGACGCAACAGCACGATCAAGCGTTCGTAGTTTACGTAAACAACAAAATGGCGTTCATTCAAATTTGAAGTAAACAACAAAATGGCGTTCATTCAAATTTGAAGTAAACAACAAAACAATATATTTTGTTTCAGTGACGGTATAAAACTATGAAGATGCATTTTTGAATAGCAGATGTAGATGAAGATGAAGAAGAAAAAAGGGTTCCTTAAAGTATAGCAACTATGTGCTATATAAGAAACGCCATTTTCAGGAATGTTCCTTAAAATACAATGTTCTCCAGCTTCATGTAAAGTATAGGGAGTATAAATTAAGAGCAGTCTGGAAGAGATACTGATAATTCTTGCCTTGGAATTTCATTTATTTTAAATAAATAAAAAAAGGACTTGATGCACAGCAAAGAAAAATAGTTATGTAAGTTAATCAAAATGTATTTTAAAAATACTTTTGGTTTTAACGGCCTTTTTCTTTAGGCCGTTGCTTTTCCTGCAATTTTTGGGTTTATTTAGCGATTGAGAAAACTAAACTGTAGATATTTTATTTAATTTCCGCTCATAATTGAAAGCTCATATAGGATATTAGACCTAAGACTCACTCCACTCTAAAAACAACAAAATGTACCTATAACTTTAGCACCAAAGGTGTTTTTTCATAAATTTAGATCTTTGACTTTTGATTTTTCGACATCAAAACTCTTTATATTTTTTCCTTGGAAAAGATATAGAAAAATCCATGTCCGAATTCTGATTATTCAAACCATATTTTAAATGTCCTTAAATAATAAATACGTAAATCAACCAAAGGTGTTAAACACCTGGTGACATCAGTAAACATATAAAAAAAAAGATCCATCTTGACAAAAACTTTTTGTATTATGTAAAGTACTGTGAGAGAAAGCTTTCAAGTTATTTTGTACAAAATCGTAAGTTTTTAACCATATGTGAGATCTTTTCGTTCTTGAAAATGTTATTAATGGTGTGTTTGTCATTGGTATGTTAAGGTATCATTTGTTTGTTTTTAATTACATGTCTATTTACGAAATATTCTAAATACCCATAACTGTTCTATTAGATACACGTAAATCCGGATAATGTCTGAAAATAAGCAGCAAGCAATAAGAAATAGAGTATTCTTCTCGCGTGTCCTTCTGGGGGGGGGGGGATATCTGGATATTAGCAGTAAATATCTGGAACAGATTTTACGCGTGTACACGACTTCCAGGGGATTTCTGAAAATGAGAAGTGTTGTAATGTACCTCTGTCCTAACATTGCATTATTGTAGGCTATGCTGCTTTTTAAAACTACACTAAACCAGAATACCTAAGATTTAAGCAATGTTCTAACGTACCTTTAGGATGTTTTCGTGATCACACATGTACGTAATTAAAAAAACAAAGGATCTCACTGCTACTCAGCTGAGCACTTAGTTTGAGGCTTTGTGTTATAACTAGTCTTGTTGAAGAATCACGTATACTATGATGAAAGTTTACACTATTTCAAAACGTGTACGTTTGGCTAAATAGACGACATATAAATGCTAAATGTTTTTAATTTTTAGTAAGCATTATATAATGTACTTTAGTAAATATTTTATATTCAATTTTATCTAAAAGAATACTCTCTTGTTAATTCGTTGCTAGAAACTCCGTTTCTTGTACGTAATTCGTCTGTTTGGAATAATATATATTGATGTGCATTGTGTCGTCCGGTTGAGTAACTTAAATGATGAAAATCAGTGGAGAAGAAATGCTGAGAATGTTTCTTCAAGAAACGGACTTTCCCAATTGGAGTAACGATGAGCCAGTTTATTCATCCTCGGGGAATTCGAACGCTTTATTTCCAGTCCTAATATTTCATTTATATGCAATGTTAAATATTAGCTAGGACTGATTTTTGTAGGAAATGTTTGTAACTTTGCTAAAGGTATGGTGTTTTCGAACGAGCGAGACATGAAGAAAAAAAAAAAAAAGCGAAAAAATTGTCCGCTTTTTCCTTCTTTTCAAACTTTCTACTTATGTTTTTTGTACCAATTTAAGATTTGATTTTAAATTTGTGTTAGCGATACTTGTAGTAATATTAGGTTTTATTATCATATAAAAAAACATTGGGTCTGTGGAAAAAAGAAATAAAATGTATTTCAATAACGTCTGATCACATGCGTCATTTTATACACTTGTTTTTGACACTATGCAATACAAAACAACAAATCATTTATCAAGCGTCTCAAATTCAGTATAACAGTAAAGCATTAATTATTTTTAGCTAAAAACCCAACAACTACAACTGAGTAAAATTTGATTTATTTAAAAGTATGCGTATAAAATCTCGGTCATTAACTACATAATAAATATCAAGAACACCAACAATTGAATTTAAATTAAATAAATATAAGATATTTCTTATAATGTTTTTAATGGTGTTTCGTTTCTTTTTTTTAGGTATAATTATGTGAATTATAACAATAATTTACGAGTTATAACCAACAATATGTTACAACTAACTATAAGTTACGACCAACAATATGTTATAACCAACAATAAGTTACGACCAACAATAAGTTATAACCAACAGTATGTTACAACTAACAATAAGTTACGACCAACAATATGTTGCAACTAACAATAAGTTACGACCAACAATATGTTGCAACTAACAATAAGTTACGACCAACAATATGTTACAACTAACAATAAATTACGACCAACAATAAGTTATAACCAACAATATGTTGCAACTAACAATAAGTTACGACCAACAATATGTTTTTGGTCGTAACTTATTGTTAGTTGTCAATATGTTGCAACTAACAATAAGTTACGACCAACAATATGTTGCAACTAACAATAAGTTATAACCAACAATATGTTACAACTAACAATAAGTTATAACTTATAAGTTATAACTTACAACAAACAATACGTTATAACGAACAGTAAGTGAAGATAAAAGCGTTGAACTCTTTGAACTGTTTCTAAACAGTTGCCCCTAGTGGCACAGAGGTAAGTTTGCAGTGTATAACGCTAAAAACCGGGTTTTGGTACCCGTGGTGGGCACAGCACTGATATTCCATTATATATCTTTGTGTTTAACTATAAACAAACCAAAGAGTTATGACATAATAGTACAAAGCTTGGTCTGACTTATGAAGATTAAGTTAACATGACATATCGGCAGGAAGATTAATTTACTTATGGTTTACTAGCTTGTATATTATAATTGAATTCTAATATACTAGCATGATGACTGGTTTTACTTATGATATATTAAATTATAAATTAGTTTGGATTATGATATATAGCAAGAATTCTTCTATAATATATATAAATCAGCACGAATATTAGTTTGACCTATGAACCCCATCCAGTGGCACAGCGGTATGTCTACGGACTTACAACGCTAGAAACCGGGTTTCGATACCCCTGTTGGGCAGAGCACAGATAGCCCATTGTGTAGCTTTGTGATTAACTTCAAACAAACTTGACCTATGATATATATTAGTTGACTAGCTGGCTTTCCACTTGCCTGTCAATTCAAAATTACTTAAGATACAGTGATTGGGTAGCGGAATCTTGAAAGAAATAAACATTAGAATAAAAGGATTCTTCTAGTTTAAACTTTTCTTGTTATTGTTATAAACTGCAATATTTAACACAAGGTATATCTTCATAACCACGAACATTTCCGTCAGAAATTTTATCTTCATAACCACGAACATTTCTGTTAGAAATTTTATCTTCATAACAACGAACATTTGTGTTAGATATTTTATCTTCATAACCACGAACATTTCCGTTAGAAATTTTATCTTCATAACCACGAACATTTCCGTCAGAAATTTTATCTTCATAACCACGAACATTTCTGTTAGAAATTTTATCTTCATAACAACGAACATTTCCGTTAGATATTTTATCTTCATAACCACGAACATTTCCGTCAGAAATTTTATCTTCATAACCACGAACATTTCTGTTAGAAATTTTATCTTCATAACAACGAACATTTCCGTTAGATATTTTATCTTCATAACCACGAACACTTCTGTTAGAAATTTTATCTTCCTAACAACGAACATTTGTGTTAGATATTTTATCTTTATAACCACGAACATTTCCGTTAGAAATTTTATCTTCATAACCACGAACATTTCTGTTAGATATTTTATCTTCATAACCACGAACATTTCTGTTAGAAATTTTATCTTCATAACCACGAACATTTCTGTTAGAAATTTTCTAATCATTTGTTGTTGTCGTTTGAAGTTAATTATAAAGTTACACAACGGGCTATCTGTGCTCTGCCCCCTCCCATACGAGTATCGAAACCCGGTTTCTAGTGTTGTAAGTCTGCAAACATACCGCTGTGTCACTGGTGGGCTCTAATCATTTGAGTTCTTATCGTAAAAATAATTCATAAGATAAACTTAAA